CCCTCCCTCCCTCCCTCCCTCCCACCTTCTCGCGCTCTCTAGATCATTTTTGTTTTGTTTTGTATGTGTTACCTTTTGAGCCAGGGTCTCATTATGTAGCTCTGACTGTCCTGGAACTCTGTAGACCAGACTGGCCTTGAACTCACAGAAATCTGCCTGCCTCTGCCTCGTGAGTGCTGGGATTAAAGGTGTGTGCCCCTACACCTGGCTTTTAACCTAGATCTTAAGCATGAGAACTAAAGGAAAGAGAGTGCTGGGGAAGAAAGACATACCCTAAGCCTATTAGGTTTCTCATAGAGTCCCCAGTTAAGCATCTGAAATTAGCCCTGGATATCATTTTGGTGGCTCTCAAATGGTTGCCAAGAAACATACTTCCCTCATATTCTCTCTCTCTCTCTCTCTCTCTCTCTCTCTCTCTCTCTCTCTCTCTCTGTCTCTCTGTCTCTCTGTCTCTCTCTGATAAATGAGATTATAGAATGGCTCTAGAGGTACCTTGGTAGGATGTCAATCAGATAAAATAAAACCAAGATCAACTAGGGTGGTACAAAAGGGGTTGGGACATATATTTTGCTGTAAACAGGGCTTCTGATGGGTTCCTGGAGATCCGTGGGTGTACATCTGGGGAATGAGAAAGGTCTAAAGGGTGCTGGAATTCTTGATTTTCAGGTGGAGAGAAACTTCACCAGAAGTTTTTCTATGTGGGGACTCCTTTCTCTTCCTGTGTCCCCAGAGTTTTCTGCCTTTCCATCCTGCCTCAAAACCAATAAGGGTCTATCCTGAAGCAAAGGTCTCTCTCTTAGCGGGGTTTCTGGAAGCCAACATCTTGTCTCAGCTATACTAAGGACTTCTGCACGGCCTCGGGCAAGTCAGACACAACCTCCTAGCCTCTCAGGTGGCTGCCCAATGGGACTGCCACCGCCTGCTCTGCTCTTCTGAGAGAAGCTAGCTGCACCAGAGGACCACAGGGGAGGTACCACCTCCAGGCACATATGGGGACTCTTCCTCCCTTTTCTTCAAAAAGAGATGTGGGGACGCTGGTCAGTTAGCATCTAGCTGGAAAGAGAGATGGGACAGTAGCGTGGATGGTTCCCATTTCCCCTTCAACCAGACTCAGGAATCTGGCCTGCCACGCCCATCCTTCCCTTGTGGACATCTTCTAAACTGGAAATTTTACGCAGCTTATCTGAGGTGGGAGGCCTCTGCTGTCATGCTGAGGCTGAAGACCACATGAGGCTGGGTTGTTATGGAGAGCAGGTCTGCCAAACACCTTGTTAAGCCATGGGAATTCCCTCATGCTCAAGGAAAGCCCCTCAGCCATCCCAGGACCCAGCTAGGCAGCTTCCTGCTCACACCACAATAAGGATCCTGCGTGGGGATTTTGCTTTCCTTTCTCTCGGCCAAGTGTCCTTTAGAGGGTGATTAACTAAACACTCCCTGTTTGCTTTGATCCGATTCCCTTCCATCCCAGCAGCCCAGGAATCAAGCTGGCTTCCAGGAAAATGAACCTTACCAGTGGCCCACCTGTCACCTAGGAGACACAATGAGTGAGCAGGCCTAGCTGGGATTAGCACCCAGCTGGGACACAACCCTGAAGCTTGGCTCTCCTGAAGACAGATAGGAAAGCAAGCCCTGCACTCCTCCTGCTTTGGCCAGGCTTGTCGTTGAACTTGGGGACCACAGTCTTTACCTCAAGAAGCCACGTCTGTACTTATCCCCAAGAACCCAATAAGAGCAGCCAAATTGATAGTAAAAGGCAGAAAGGGGAGAGTTACTCAATGTGACCACATTGGGAATTGTGTCCATCTTGGGGATCCTGAAATGAGACTGTCTAAGTAAGCTTAAATAAAGGGCTAGGAATAGGCACATCTCGGCAGTTCCGTCAAGGTGTGGTCCTGCCAACCATCATCCCTGGTTGGTCTGGGCTTCAGTCTCATCAGGTAAGATGCTTTGACAGACTGTTGGAACTGTGGAATGTCTCTTCCTAGGATAAAAGTTCTACCTCCCGCTGGGTGGTGGTGGCACACGCCTTTAATCCCAGCGCTAGGGAGGCAGAGACAGGCGGATCTCTGTGAGTTCGAGGCCAGCCTGGTTTACAAGAGCTAGTGCCAGGACAGGCTCCAAAGCTACAGAGAAACCCTCACTGATCCTGGTGGGGGCCTTTTCTTTTTCCTGGGGAAGTTCTCATCTTGTGGTGTTGTAATAGGAGCAGCGGCAGGCTGCGGCCCGCCACCCTGCTAGCTTTACCCGAAATAATTACACGGAAACTGTGTTCTTTTAAACACTGCTTGGCTCATTAGCTCTAGCCTCTTACTGGCTAGCTCTCACATCTAGATTAACCCATTTTTAATAATCTGTGTAGCCCCACGAGGTGGTAGCTTACCAGGAAAGATTCTAACCTGTGTCTGACTCGGAGAGGAAAATCATGGCGACTGCCTGACTCAGCTTCTTTCTCCCAGCATTCTGTTCTGTTTACTCCGCCTACCAAATTTTCTGTTCTATTAAAGGGCCAAGGCAGTTTCTTTTTTTTTTTTAGATTTATTTATTTTTATTATGTACACAGTGTTCAGCCTCCATGTATGCCCGCACGCCAGAAGAGAGCACCAGATCTCATTACAGATGGTTGTGAGCCACCATGTGGTTGCTGGGAATTGAACTCAGGACCTCTGGAAGAGCAGTCGGTGCTCTTAACCTCTGAGCCATCTCTCCAGCCCCTGGCAGTTTCTTTATTTAACCAATGAAATCATCACAAAACAGAAGACTCCCACATCATTGTGGGCCCTTTGTTTCGGCACTCTGCTGGTCAGATTGAGAGAGTAAATGTCACATTAGAATATCTTCTCCATCTTCCTAGCAATTGTGCTGCCAGGACCTGATCTCTGTCTGCCTGGGGGCTGTGCTGCCAGGACCTGATCTCTGTCTGCCTGGGGGCTGTGCTGCCAGGACCTGATCTCTGTCTGCCTGGGGGCTGTGCTGCCAGGACCTGATCTCTGTCTGCCTGGGGGCTGTGCTGCCAGGACCTGATCTCTGTCTGCCTGGGGGCTGTGCTGCCAGGACCTGATCTCTGTCTGCCTGGGGGCTGTGCTGCCAGGACCTGATCTCTGTCTGCCTGGGGGCTGTGCTGCCAGGACCTGATCTCTGTCTGCCTGGGGGCTGTGCTGCCAGGACCTGATCTCTGTCTGCCTGGGGGCTGTGCTGCCAGGACCTGATCTCTGTCTGCCTGGGGGCTGTACTGTCAGGCCCGTTTTCTGGTGTCACTCAAGTGTCCCCGCTCCAGGATCCTTACTGCCACCTTGATTTTCTCTGGCGTGCTCTTGGTTGTTTGTTTCCCCTACTATTCGTTCAGAGTATCATGGAGGGTTTTGGTTTGGCTAATAAATTTTTTGTTGAGATACAACTCACGAATCATAACCATCTACTTAAAAATGTGTCAAATGAAGCTCACTGTGGCGCCACGCACTTGGAAACTATGGCAGGGGCATCACCATGAGTTTGAGGCTAGCCTGGACTACACAGTAAGACCCTAGTCTCAAAAACAACAACAACAACAACAACAACAACAACAACAGATAAAAACATGCCAGTGGGGGCTGGAGAGCTGGCTCAGAGGTTAAGAGCATTGCCTGCTCTTCCAAAGGTCCTGAGTTCAATTCCCGGCAACCACATGATGGCTCACAACCATCTGTAAAGGGGTTTGGTGCCCTCTTCTGGCCTGCACACATATACACACAGACAGAATATTGTATACATAATAAATAAATATTTTAAAAAATGCCAGTGATAGCTTTAGTACCTTCAAAGTTGTGCAGCCATCAGCAAGACCAAGACTCCACTCCTTATCTCATCGTGAGAACAACACCCTCAATGTTGTTCCGTTCGAGACAAGGTCTCTAACCCCCACGAACCTCCAACTTACTTCATGACTTTGAACTTCTCGTCCTCTTTCCTTCTGCACCTTCCTCGCTGGGATTGCAGGTGTGCAGTACCACGCCTGGTGTCTGCAGTGCTGAGGACTGGACCCAGAGCCTCCTGTCTGCCAGGCAAGCATTGCAGCGAAGGCTGCATTCTCCGCCCACATCCTTTTCCTCTTCCCAGCCCTTGATGCCCCGCTCATTTCCTTGTCTGTGTTTCCTATTGTGGATGTTTCATGAGTATGGGCTCATGGAAACATATGACCCTTTCCTTTCATTTTTGTTTTATTGCTGAGTGTTTTATGTATGTGCACCCTGTGTGTGCCTGGTGTTCAAGGAGGTCAGAAGAGGACACCTGTAACCCCTGGAATTGGAGTTACAGATGGATGCGAACCACCATGTGGGTGCTGGGAATCAAATGTGGACCCTCTGCAAGAGCAAATGTTCTCAAGCATCGGAGCCATCTCCCAGGCCCCCTTTGTCTCATCATCATCATCTTTATTATTACTGTTGCTTATGTATGTACCTGTATGGGACCAGAGTAGTCCAGGGGAAGGTGTCAATCATCTAGAGCTGAAGTTAAAGTGGTTGTGAGTCACCTGACATGGATGCCAAAAACTGAACTCGGGTTCCTGTAGGTTGTGCTTTTAACTGCTGCGCCATCTCCAGCCCCCATGCGGCCCTTTGTGACAGGCGCCCTTCTCTTGGTCCGTCCCTCAGCGTATGGATCAGTTGTTCCTGTGGTTCTCATGGCCGAGTCATACTCCACCACTGTGACTGTGGCTCTGCTCCACGGTCTCCCTTTCAGCTGGCACACACTGGGGTTGTTTCCTACTTGGGGCTATTATGAATGGATGGATGGCTCTTCTCTGAACCTTCGTTCTGCGTGGGTGTGTTGTTGTTCCAGGCCAGTTGGCGTACACCAAGAGCAGAACTGCTGGCTCATATGGTAACTATGCTTTCTCAGAAGTCGTCAGAGTGTTTTCCAAAGCAATTATTTTTGTTTCTTAACCAAAAGATAATGCATTCCCGTCATAAGAATAAAGTAACAACATAAGCAAAATATACATGACCTTAGGGTCACTCTCCTTTCTTTTCCAGGATGACCCTTTATTCTGTTACACATTAGCGTGTACGTGAAAATATGCACACACACATTATTCTATGCATTTTATTCTACATGACATTGGCTATGTATCACATTCAGGATGTCAGAAACAGGAAAGCCAGACCCAGTGGCATAGCTAGGAGACTAAGACAAAAGGATTTCAAGTTCAAGGCTAGCCTGGGCTACACAGAAAGACCCTGTCTTATGAAAATCAAAGCGGAGTTTTGCTCAGAAATAGAGGACTTATGAATGAGGGATTTATCACCAATGCCAGAGAGAAAAGAACAGAAAGGAAAGAAGAGAAAGGTCACGGGTGGTGGTGCACACCTTTAATCCCAGAATTTGGGAGGCAGAGCCAGGCCAACCTCTGTGAGTTCGAGTCCAGCCTGGTCTACTGAGTGAGTTCTAGGACAGCCAGAGAGGACTACGCAGAGAAACCCTGTCCCGAAGAACAAAGCAAACAAAAAACTGTTACATCAACTTCAGATTTGCTCTCCAGGGAGGACATCAGGTCTCTGTCACAGGCAAGTAAGACGGATAGGTTTTATTCCTGTAAGCTATCTGACAAGGAGGCAGCCTGAAACCAAACAAGCTACAAATTTTCATCCCTCTTTTTCCCTCTTTTTCCAGGCAACTAAAGCCTCATCCAGTCTGACATTCCTATGAACAAAACTGGAGCCTTTGTTTCACGGCCCAGAGACATCTGAGGAAGCAAAGCCCGTGTCTTGATCACAAGCTCTCTGTCTGAGGACCCAGAGTGACTGGGGTTAAACAAATGGACTCTATCCGTGTGAAGTAGTAGTTCTCCGGCTCACACATACACAGGCCCTTCATTTTCTTTATCCTCCCTGTCGCGGGCCCCACTTCCAGGGGCCTTGTTTCCATAACAGAGACCTGGGCAGGGTGATGAACTTGCATCAACACATCACCTTCTGCCACTGACTGAACTTTCCACAGCTGTCCAGCTGTGCTGCTTATGTAAGAAGCCTACCATGTTGTAGAGGTCTCAACCCCCTCCCTGATCTTAGGGATCGCCTTTCCGGAAAGACCATCACCATTACTCAATGTTATCACGGCAGTTCTGTTTTTTAACATTAGGTTCTTTTTAATACTGACACCTCATGGTACTGTGCCACCTCGGTCCAACCCTCACCTCCACACTGACCAACTAAGACTGTGAGGTATTGACCCCTCTCCTCAGGACCAGCGGGCTATAGTATCTTGGGTCTCAGGCCAGAACCTCCCCCTATTCAGGCACAGATACTATGTATCTTTATTTCGTTTCAGCCTTATAGAACCATGATTGACATTAAAAATTGTATATTCTTTTTTTTTTTTTTTTTTTTTTGGTTTTTCGAGACAGGGTTTCTCTGTGGTTTTGGAGCCTGTGCTGGCACTAGCTCTTGTAGACCAGGCCGGTCTCAAACTCACAGAGATCCGCCTGCCTCTGCCTCCTGAGTGCTGGGATTAAAGGCGTGCGCCACCACTGCCCAGCAAAAATTGTATATTCTTAAGGTGCACAATGCAATGGTTTGGCGTGTGTGTAGATTGTAAAACGATCACCACAATCAAGCTAATTAGCCTTTCCACCGTTTCTCATAGCTGCCATTTTTGACTGGGACGAGAAGATGGAGGATCTATTCTCTTGGCAAATCCCGTTTGCCCAGTCCATCTCACTCACTGTAGTCACCGGCTGTGCATCCGCCTTTCACAGCTGACTCTTTTGGGGATTATTTGACCCAGTGACTCCCCCTTTATTAAGGTTGAATAATAGTAAATAAATAAATAAATAAAATTTTAAACAGTAAAATCCCCCATGGCTTTTTATTTATCCACCGCGTGTCAACAAGCCATTAACGTTGTCGCTGTATTTTGGCCACTGTGAATAACGTTGCGGCACGCAAGGCAGTGGGAGAAATGCTTCCAAATCTGGTTTATTGGCTTTGGCTGCAGGCCCAGCAGAACTGCTTGCTGCTTGTTTTATTTTTGAGGAACCTCCATGGTATCCGTACCCCCGTGACAATGAATAAGAGTTCTCATTTCATCACACCCTCAAAAACACTTCCCTCTTGATTTCTTTGATAACGGCCATCCCTGCAGGTACGAGCTGACGTTTCACTGTGGTTTTGGTTTGTAGCTTCCAGTCGTTAGTGAAGTTCTACTCTTTTTCACATCCCCGTTGATCATTTATAGGTTTCTATGGTGTAAATGTGGTTTGTCTCCTCCGACACTCATGTGGAAGGGATTGCCACTGGAAGGTGGGGCCTCGTGGGAGATGTCAGGCCATGGGGGTTGGGAATGGATCGATGTCTCTCTGGCGTGGGGAGACAGGATCGACTCTCATAGGCATCTGCCCCCACTAGCAGACTGTGTTGCAAGCTAGGATGTTTAGTAGGCCCCGTAGACTCAATGCATTTGACTTGCAATGTTTTCAACCCAGGTTGGGTTACTGGGCCAGAACCACACAGTGCAGAACGGCTTCACACTCCCACGCGTCACAGAGGAAATAAATCCATTAGCTCTGATTTGGGTGGCAGTGTCCTCCTGTCTGCTTTCTCTCTCTTCTACTGTGATCTAATTTAGCTTTACTTCTTTTGTTTTTGAGACAAGATCTCACTACATAGCCCAGGCTTACTTCAAACTCACAATCCTCCCGCCTTGGCCTTGTTAGTATTGCTGGTATGAGCAACCATGCCAAGCTTCAAATTATACTTTTTCTCTTCTTGTTTGTAGGTTTCCTGAGATGTCTGTAAATTCTTGGCTGCCTGCTCAGATTTAAGACTAAAGCATAAATAAGCCACGGCGTTAGCCCTGTAGAGCAGGACAAGGGACTTAAAGGGATCAAGCTGGATGACCTCTGGGAATGACTGGGTGTCAGTCTTTTTAGTTCTTTTCTCTCAGGAACACTAGCAAGTGTTCTAGAAGATGCTCTTTCAGACTTCTACTTGAAGTTGTAATTATAGCCAGGCTCTGTTATGTACACAGACTCTCTTTGAACTTATAGGAATCCTCCTGCCTCTGCCTCTCAAGACCTAGGATTATAGCCATGAGCCCCAACTTGTAAGTGCTTCCTGTGTCCACCTGGGCCTGGAATCTTCCAAACCAATGACCTGCTGTCTTAGTCTTTCAGGAAGTCCTGCTTCTCTGATCTTCCTTTGAGTACCTCCGCCTGTGTCTCCATTTCCTTCTTTTTCAGTTCCCAGTGATAAGCTTTTGAACTTCTGCACCATTTTCCTCCACCCATCGTCTATATTCCTCCCCTTACTCACTCTGCAGGGAATCTAGGCGATTTCTGCTGAGGTCTTTCGGCTCCTCACTTCAGCTGACTAAGTTTTGATTTCCAATATTCAAGTTTCTAATTCCCAAGACGTCTGACTTTTTCTAATTACAGCTGTGGGAACGCCCAGGTCTGTCGGCCCTTCTGTTCCTTCAGGTATGAATGCATTCTGTATAACTCGGTGCCTTTTCTCCCACGCCATTCATGTTCCTCAAATGCTGGCCTTCTCTTGACTGTGAGCTTACTCTTGCACCTGAGGTAGATCCCTCGTTAGCCTCAGTAGCCTGCTTGAAAGGTGGGAGGTGCCAACACGTAGCTATGATGTGTACAGTGTTTGGCTGTTTCTTTTCCAATTCTCTTTCAGATGCAACAAACATCTTTTCTTTCAAAGTATGCCCCACTTCCTCCCTTTCCAGACCACAAAAGTTGTTTTTCAGTTTCTGTCTGGCTCTAAGCCACCATTTCCTGACCCTACTTCCTCCTTACACACACACACACACACACACACACACACGCACGCACGCACGCACGCACGCACGCGCACACACACACACACACACAAAACAAACAAACACAAAAAAAAAAACTCATGCTTTAATTTTTTTTTCTTCCTCATCTTACCTCGATGCTCTGATTAGCAACTCAGGTTTGGATTCTGTGGTTGGTCCTCCACCCGTGAGGGACAGTCCAGCTTCTCTTTCACATCAGGGATAAAACCAGGAGGACTCCGCCATACCTGTGCTTGGGCCACCGCTTTTGTGGGTAACAGCTCTTGTGCAGAAGTAAGGATGCAGACAGAACCCTAATTTTAATTACAGTGGTGGTCTCTTTCTTTGTGGCCTCAGAAATATTCTAACTCTCTGATAAAATACCCTAACCAAAGCAACTTAGGGGAGAAAGGACTTAAATTAGCCCACAGTTCTGGGTCACAGGCCATCATTTCCGGGAGGTCACAGTGGCACAGCTGGTCAAACGGTGCCCGTAGTCAGGAAGCAGATCATTGGATGGCTTGCTGGAGGCTCCTTCTCCTTTTCAGTCCAGGGGCATGAAATGGCGCCCCCCCCCCACATTCAAGTTAACCCAATCAGGAAAATTCCTCACAGGCCAGCCCGATGTAGACACTCCCTCACTGAAACTCCCTTCCCAGGCAGCGATTTCAGTTTCTGCAAGCTGATGACTGAAACCAATCATCACAGTGGTTGCTGGGCAAAGGAAGCCATGCTCAGCTTTGGGGATGCGGATGCAGAGGCTTCCTGTCCCTGAACTGCAATCATCAGGAGGTTGCCGGCTTTGCCTCGCTTCTCCGAGCCAATTTTATCCAGGGGCTCCTGCCCCTAGGCAGATCCTCCATGACTCACTGTTTGGCCAGAGGTTCAAATCTCTGACCTCCTCTGGCCACCAGCTTTTAAAACTGGGGGTAAAGAGTTCTTCAAGCTCCTCCTCTTTGCAGGAACCCCCTCATCCACAGTCAGCAAAGTCACTGCTTCAGTAAGTAGACTTGGGTGGGGGTCATTTCTTGGGTCCATCGTCAGTGCCCTGTGGTGAGAGTTTTTTTCCTAAAGTAAAGGTACTTCGCCTGGCAAGAACTCATATTTCCCCGAATCTCCTTCACGCCATATTAGTCAGTCTGGTTGGATTGTGAAGTTGAACTCCCACAAATGGGATAAAACACGGTCACCACCCACATCACACACAGATCAAAGAGGGGGTCTGTGTTGGCCCCGTGTGTTACTAGCCTGGCTTGGACACTGGTGCACCCTTTTTGGAAAAACAATCACCTTGCTGCGATATTTTCACATTCCTTCTGTGTGTTCTCTTTCGAGACACCCGGATCCTTTCTAACACCAACTGCGGTGAAGAGATGAAAAGCCTCGCATCGGTCTTCAGTTTGGTCCACTTATTTTCTATCTTTTATCAAAGTTCTTGGTTCCTGAGGTGTTTCCTATGTAGTTTTCTGTGAAACATATGAATTTGTTTAGCTCATCCCTAGCAGTTTATAGCTGGGAACAGATGGGAGCAGTTACATTGCCTGGTGACTTGCTGAATGAGTGGAAAGAATCGAGTCAGGAGCTGGCTCTCTGTAGGGAGTCAGGGAAAAGGGTGGGTGGTATAAACTGCAATTCCATCCCACTGAGGGTGCAGGCTCTACACTGAGGTGTTTGTGTGTTGCTGGAAATTCAAAGCAAAGCTGTGACACATGAAGCAAGCACTCCACCTCTGAACTACACCCAGAGCCCTCCCTTAACTCCTAGACGCGGTTTCCCTTTGGTTACCTGGATGTAGTGTAACAGCGGAATTAAAGTGTTTGTCTAGTAAATCTAACATCTGGGCTCTCTCAAGGACCTTTTCGAGCAACCAGTGATGTCATAAACACAAGCCATACTTTCATTTATTTCAAGTCTCACATAGCTTGATACATAGAAGAAGATGGAAGAAAAACTATCTCTTTGGGTAATATAATTTGGCAGTTCTGAAGAATAAAGCACCTCCACTCAAGGCTTACTGTTCTTGCTATCTTATTGTCCTCGATGGTGTGTGTTTGTTAGTTTAGCAGCTTTCTGGGGTAAACTCTGTAGAGCTGTCTCCCTGTTACAGCCACTGACTGAATTCTCAGTACAGATAGGTTACTGGCCCGCTAATGACTGTGCAGAGGTTTTTAAACAATGCTTTGTTTCTAGTAAGTGTCTACACCTTGCTAGACACACTGTGGGCTGAGGCACCTTCAGTCCGTAGGCAGTTTACAAGTATACCTTAGCCTTCATCTCCTTTGTACACAAGGCCTCAAGATCAGGCAGAATTGAGAAACTGGGGGTGCTTCCAGGCCATTCCTGAACATGTACGAGTCTTATAGATCCTTAGGAACACATCAGAGATTTCCAAAATTCTCTACCAAATCTCATTTTCCTTATGTGCGAAACAATCCCACACCAGTTAAGATTTAAAGGGATATTTATTTTGGGGGGTAAAACTCACGAAACACCAACCGTCAGGAAAGGAGCCTTGTCGCCGGAGCAGGAGAGGGAACCAAGCGCCGGAACCAAGAGCGCGGGCCGAGGCTTGCCGCTCTTTTTTAAAGATAAATAGACCACGCCCCAGTGGGCTGGTATTTCAGCAGCTATTGGCTGAAGGAGCGGAAGGTCCTCTCGCAGCATTTTCCAAAGACTCTTTTCAAGTTTTTTTGCCCCACCCCCACCCCGCCCAGCCTCAGTTTAAACAATAAACTGATTACATTTAACATTTGACAATGTGCTGTGGATAGGGGTTCCTCCAGAAAGACAATCCCAGGTTGGGCTTCCTGGCCATTAATACCTGCTTTCTGTCAATGGCAGAGCTTCTGGAAGTCCCCAGAACCCAAGCTGGCAAGACTCGAAAGCTGGGAGTGCTGACCTAATCCCTGCCGTGTTCGGTGAATAGAACCCATGGACCTGGTGCCCAGAGATCCTTGCAGCCCTACTGTAAGATCAGTGCGGTCAGGGAGGGCAGGACAGCATGTCCCCAAATGCCCTAGCCAGATTTGAGTGCCACCTCCTCCCACTGAGTATGGCGAAGGAAACAATACAAAAAGAAACTTTATTTTGCTTTCTCACGAGCCAGCAGGGAAATCACCATGATACACGTCCCCACTTCTGGTACTTCTGCCAGACACAGACCGTTCCATCCCTTCATGTCCTCAGCTGTAACATCAGGGCTCAGGCTGTCCCTGCTACACTGGGGACTTCCCGAAGTGGCGGGAGAGATTTCTCTTTGCAGTATCAACCTCTCCCAAACTTCCGCCTGGGGAAAGAGTCACTGAGTCTCCCTCGTGGGTAACAAGGCTTGCTGACCCAAGATCAGGCGTGGTGGCCTATGACCGTGTTTGCTGACCCATGTCCAGACAGAGGTTTTTTTTCCTTTCACAGGGGCCTGTCTCAGAGCTAAGTCCCATCTACTGCCCACTCTAGGAAACTCTCTCTTCAGGAGCCTTCTCCAGTCTTCAGTGAAGATTCCACAGCCACCTCCTCGATCTGCCAGCGGCACATGGGGCACCTGGCCGTGTCTTTGAAGATGTGCCAGGCACAGGAGCTGCAGAAGTGTGAGTGGCCACAGGGCATGAGGCGGGTGTTGGCGGTGTTGTGGAAGCAGATGACACACTCCTCTCCTGATGCAACTGGAAAAGGAGACAGCGTGGGTCAGGCACACATACAGGGTAGTCCACCTACCTACTGATGCTCTTACCACAGGGCAGGAAAAGCACAGTGGTTAGCTAGAGCAATGGCTCAGTTGGTAAAGTGCCTGCTTGGTCTGGGTTGAATCCCCAGATGCCACGCGAAATGTCAGGCACATGTTGGGAAAGCAGAGACCAAAGAAGCCCAGGGACTTGCTGTCCAGCCAGTCTAGCCAATCAGTGAGAGAACTTGTGTCAAAAACCAAGGTGGAGAACACTGGAGGAAAACACCTGAGATCTACCTCTGGACTCCACACACACATGCATAACAGACCAATGTGTACACACACACAAATGCACAAACATGTACACACACATATGAACAATCATGTACGCACACATGCACGCACATACACAAATGGCTGGGGATGTGGTTCAGTTGGTAGAGTGCTTATGCACAAAACCCTGGGTTTGATTTCCAGCATTGAATAAAAACAGTAGTGATAGCCAGGCGGTGGTGGCGCACACCTTTAATCCCAGCACTTGGGATGCAGAAACAGGTGGATCTCTGTGAGTTCCAGGCCAGCCTGGTCTACAGACTGTCCAGGACAGTCAGGGCTACACAAAGAAACTTTGTCTCAAAACAAACAAACAAACAAAATACAAAAAAAGAAAGAAAGAAAGAAGGAAAGAAAGAAGGAAGAAAAAATAGGATTAAACTAGGCTGCAATCCCAGCATTTGAAACAGTATTGAGTGAACCTGAGTCCAGATTCAGCCACCCGAGGCTGTTTCAGACAAAGGAATATACTCTCCTAATTTGGGAATGAGCTAAAAGGCAGAAACATCCCCTTGTTTCTGGATCTCTAGCCATCAGTAAACTGTGGGAAGCCTCTCTGTGGTACCTAGAAAGATGGCTTTGAACAACCAGATTTCCCAGCCACTCCACTCGGTGCTGGGATCCGGGGATGAGTGCTCACCTTCAGACTCCGGCATAGCTTCCCCGCTGATGATCCAGGCGTTGGCTTTGGGATCTAAGGCAGAAAGGGAGGTTCAGGGTCAGCACAGCAGCTCCAGAAATCCACAGGCACGCATGCGTGCATGCACCCTACCCTTCAGCAGCCACTCCCTTCCTCACTGCTAATCTCCCTGTCATGTTAGGAACCCAACTGAGAACTCTCACATCTTTGTCGGTTTTTTTTTCTTTCTTTTTCACTTGTGTAGGGGTGAACTTCTACTTAAGCGCAAAGCCGCATCCAAATGCTTTCTCCTTTGTGAAACGCGACCAGCCTTCTAACGTTATTTGGGCGCTGGTCATATCTTATCATTGTTTAGGACAAGGCTTGTGCCCAGTTAGAGTCTCCCATGCCCATCCTTACACTAGGCCATGGGCTGATGGCATACTGAGCATGAAAGAATGAACAATTCCTTCAGGGCCTCTAGACAGGTTCATGAAGCCACCCGGAATTCTGTCGCCCACGCCACACACTCCGAAACCACAAGGATTGTCTCACCCAGCAGCTCAATGGCTTTCGTGGTCCCGTACACATCCATCACCGCCCAGAGAGGGGCGCCCTGGACCAGTACGTCTTTGCGCAGCACGAGGGGGCGGCCAGCGTTGACCTTGGCTTAGAGCCAGCCTCTCCGGTTCACCCAGAAACAGACCACATTCCCCGCACGAACGAAGCCCTCTGGAAGCAGCGCTGCCCACGTGGGACTCTGTTCCTCTAGGTCCGGGCACACGAAAGGCGGCAAGCAGGACGCAGCCACGTGTGCAGGGTCGAGGCGCGTGAAGCCCACGCGGAGGCCACCGCACCAGCCTTTCTCTTGTCGCAGCACGCGCAGCGCAACACGCTCACCGGGCCACACTGGCCGCTGGCTGAACACGATGCCATCGTGGAATGTAGAGCGCCTGTGCGCTGTGCTCCGCATGTCATCCAGATGCACCTGCGCGCCGGTGGCATCCCCGTGGAAACTAAGGGCCTCGCTGGGCACCTCAGCATCTGTGGGGCAGAGCAGATAGCCTGTCAGTGAGGGCCCATTCTAATCTCCTGGCTCCCCAAATAATGACCAGCACCCTAGGCTAACCGGGCCTCCTACTGAGGACCACTTCAACGGCCCCAAGTTCCCTGGAACCACCTCCACACCCCAAATGACCTCAAGCCTCACCTGGCAAACCTCAAGGATCTACTAAAAGCCCAAAGGGCAGCCCACTCTACCTGCCTGGGTCTGTTAACCTCCCCTGTCCGCAGCCTCAGCGGCTCCTTCTGCTTGGCATGAAAATTAAAAGAACCTCTATCTAAACCTTGTCTAAACCCAGCCCTGAACTATGGTTATTACTGAGATTGAACAGAAAAAGCAGCGTCTTGGTGTGGTGGTGCCGTAATTCCAACGCTGGGGAGGTGTAGGCAAGTTCCATGCCTGCCTGGGCTATATAAGGGGTTCCAGGCCAGGCCAGCCTGGGCTACATAGACAGGGAACTATTGTTAAACAAAATGAAACCAGACAGTTAGGCATATGAACTTAGATGAGGTTTATTGGGTCTTGTTGTTGTTTGTTTGGTTGGTTGGTTGGTTGGCTGGTTTTTTGGTTTTTCAAGACAGGGTTTCTCTGTATAACAGTTCTGGCTGTCCCGGCACTTGCTCTGTAGACCAGGCTGGCCTCAAACTCACGGAGATCCACCTGCCTCTGCCTCCCAAGTGCTGGGATTAAAGGCGTGCACCACCACTGCCCAGCTGAGGTTTATTGTTTTTTTTTTCATTTTTTAACACTTACTTCTTTATTGGGTGCCAGGATGTATGCATGGGTGGAGGTCAGAGGACAACTTGCAGAAATCAGTTCTCTCCTTCTACCCTGTAGGTTCGGGGGGATTGAACTACAGTTGTTCAGCTTGTCGGCAAGCACCTTTACTCGCTGAGCCCTTTCACCAACCCCTAGATGAGATGTAACACTCATGTTTTCTCATGCACCTAGCCTGGAGAAGCGGAGCTGGCTTGCTGACTTGTGCACGCCCTGGCAGGTGGCCCACTATGGCCCACTATGGCCATGCCTTCCTCTCTGTTTCTCTAACCTCCTTTCCCCACAGGTGAGCTGTATCAATGTCCTCTTCACCCCGCAAGGTGACTTCCTGGTCCTGGGGGAAGAGGGAACACAGCAGTTTCCCACAGGACAGGGGAACAAGTTGAGAAGGGTCTGCGGAGATGCCTATGATCAGCCAAGGCCGGACATGGGCTTCAGAACCAAGGAACTTCTTATACAAAGGTACTTGGCAGTCAGGAGGGAAAGGTCCCTGCGGGGCAGCCCCTTTTCCCAGCCCTGGCTTCAAGAGAGCAGGAGCTGATCTGATCCCAGAGACCTGCCTTGCCTCTTTAAGTGGGGGTGAAGAGAGGAAGTCAGCTGACTGTTGGCTCTAAAAGAAAGATGAACTCAGTCTGAACTTGAGCCAGGTCCGGGAGAGTCCCCATCCCCCACCAGCCGATTGTCTCCTGTTCCGCTTACAGACCACAGGTCTGCTTGCAGAGCCAGACATAGGACTGAGGGCTCCTGGTGCTGCCGCCAGAGCCCGCCCCATCACTCAGCTGGGTGGGTCACAGCCACCATTCATGTGAGGAACTCAAGAGAAGACCAAGGATAGGCTTGGTAAGGGACCTTACCAAGTGGATGCTGGAAACAGTCACCTGCCACCCTGCTGCTGGAGAAGCCAGATGTACTCTCCTGAGAGCCCCAAGCAACAACCCTGGTCCATCACAAGAGCAGAAATAGAGCTAAGTGGGACCTTCAGCCTCATCCAACAGCCTTGCATCCTCTTTGGGTCTGAGAACTTTGAACTGCTCATCTCTAAATGGTGGCCAGTCCTCCCTGGCTGTGGGCAGGGTGTTCATCTAGCCATCCCCCATCCCCAGGAGGATAGAAGACTGGAAGGTCTGTTCTGGGAGAGAGGGAGACAGACAGACAGACAGACAGATACACACACACACACACAGAGAAAGAGAGAGAGAGAGAGAGAGAGAGAGAGAGAGAGAGAGAGAGAGAGAGAGTTCACTGCCCCATCTTTTTCCTAGAGGAGAAGCAGGAGAATCTGGCTGGCGGAGTGTCCGTTCGTGAGGAAGGGGACTGCCCTAGGAATGCCCTCTGGGAGATGCAAGGGTCCCTTGGCACCCCAGGAAAGGAAACCTTGGCCTGGATGCCAGTTTGAGTGGGCAAAGCTGCACTGCAACTCAGGAGACTCCTCAGTGGCCTGTGAGAGTTACGTTCTCATGTCCCATGTTACAGGGGAAACGGAGGGATCACACCGCTGCCTCCCCAGGTCGCTAGGTGACCAGAGCCTCTTGAACCACCTTCTCTCAACTGCATGCTCAGGCCTTGTATCCCTACCTTCCTTCAGTAGCCTCTGGGCAACTCCCTGAGTGTGGCCCTCAGGAGGAGTCACAGCAGGCAAGCGACAAGGGGCCTCTTGAGGCTTGGCCTCTGCACTCACTCTCTCAGATGGCTTGTGTGGGTTAATCACTGAGCATGGCCCAGGCTGAGTAGGTAGGAAAGCCACCCTCACCCAGCGAGTCTATCAAAGGCCTTCAAGACTTTGTCCCCAATAGGGGCCCCACCTTTCCTTTACAACGAGATTTGCTTCCTGACTTTAGAGCCGGGTCAGAGTGGCACTAACGGGGTGGACACCGTCTCCATTCTGCCCTGTTCCGACGGCAGAGCCTTGCAGGGATCCTCCCACTCGTTGACTAAGCAAACTGACAGATCCCACTGCTGGATTGGGGAGAGGCAGAGGTGGGCACAAGCTAAACACGACTCTCTAATTGAGTCTGTTCCAGCTGGCAGGGCTGGCACAGGGTTCAGAGCACTGTCCGCTGAGGGGTTGCCGTTTTTGTGCTGAGCCCCATTTTCAGGTCAGATCCTGAAGCTCCATGGAACAGAGTTAAGTGGAGGACCCTCTTCAATGACTCCGCCTTTGGGTTCCCCACTGTTGTAGGGAAGGGGCATTGCTGGCCTGAACCTAGACCGCTAGGAAGTTTGGGACACACAAGTCGTGTCCTTAGGGTCAGCCCATGATGGCCTCCCACTGTCAGCATCTTCATCACCACCCCTCCAGCTACCAAGACTTTTGGGGTGCCAGGCACCCACTCAGCCCTTTTCAGCCTCCTGTTCTACTCTCTGCATCCTGTATAAAAGCACTCAGAGCTTGTGGAAGAGGGGAGAGAGTCTCCGGAAAGGTCCCTTCTAATCTTCCCAGCACCAAGGAGACTGTGGACTTGGCTGCGCGCACACACACACACACACACACACACACACACACACCTGCACCTGTTACACGACATCCCTTTCAGCATTGGTGCCCTGCCTTGAATCCAAACACAGCTGCCACACAGAGGTGGCTCAGGGTGTGGCCATCCACTGTGAGTGAGCCTTGGGTGCTCGCCATTGGGCCCTAAGCAGGGTTCTGCTTGTGCATCTTCAGGGTGCCTGGTCCCAGACTCTGCTAAGAGCTGGAATGCTATCTCCTGCCCACTCACCCACGTCCTTCCACTAAGGGACACTGTGACCACAGGTACAAGTAAGTGTCTCAGAGAAACTTCCTATCTCGTTACTATTTAGACTTAGATATTTGGAGCCTTAAAGGCCATCAAGGTGGGTGGCATTATCCCCAACCTTCAGAGGATAAAAACCAAGGACCCAGCATCAAAATGACTTGCCCCTGGTGCCATCTCTAATATGGCAAAGCTGAAATCCCTCATCTTCTACCTTCAGCCCTCTAAATTCTACTCGTCTACCCACCCCAGACCTGTTTCTCTCTTTGTAGCCAAGTCTTAGATGAACACTGGTTACAGATAGTGGGTGGGGAAGGAGGGGTGTTTATCTCTGCAACCATCTTGGATCTGAGTCACCCAACCTCTCCTTGGTTCCTGGGAAGCCCGGAAAGTCACGGCCTCGTGCACGCCAGACCTTGGCAGAAACCTCCTCTAGCTGGCAATGACCTCAAGGTCTCAGTTCTCCCCCTTTCCAGACCTCCCACCTGTAACTCCCTGTGGTCCGGCCTCCAGAAGCCAGCTCAAGACATACAGGAAGTCTACTTACTGGCCTCAGGGCTGAGGCGGGCACCCATTAGCTTGGGCTCCTCCTGAGAGACAAGTCCTTGTGTCTGGAGCTGTCTGTGAAGGCCAGTGGTCAGGTTTACAAGACTCTGAAGGTTCCCCTTTTATAGGCTGGAGATCACGTTACAGGGTTGATGATTAATTAGATGCAGTCACGCATGACGATATCCGGGACTTTCCCCATGATGTCTCCCTGCTCACAGTAGACCTACTGCAGGAGGCTGGCCTGAGAAAAGGAAGCGGGGACTGAGAGTGTGGCTGCAGCATAGAGTTCTTCCTCTCTGCCTTCTAATCAGCCCCTGCCTATGAATGAGAACTGCCCACAGCCTGTTAATAAACATCTGGGCTCACCCCCAGCCCCCTGCAAGAACTCTGGGTGTCCCTGGCCTGGGGTGAGATCTGGACATCTGAAGTTTCAAGGAGTATGCAGCCGGCATGGCTCACCATGGCAACCCCACATATAGAAAGTGCACAGCAGGTTAAACTGAACAAGCTAAATCCCGAGACCTGTGCCGTTGAGCCTGCCTGGTGGCAAGGACGGTTTGGGAGCTTATAAATACCCTGCACCTCTGTTGCCCTCAACAGCAGCAGCAGCAGCAGCTGCCTATGTCCTTCTTGAGACTCCAGATCAAGGCCACAATCAGTGGCTTCTTTGGACCCTTACAGAAATGAATAGTGCCAGGAGGTAGGGGCACTATTTAATCCTTTAAATTAAAGGTGGTGGCACGTTTAATTCCAGCACTGGGGAGGCAGAAGCAGGCACAGCTCTGGGAGTTTGAGGCCAGTCTGATGTACAGAGTTTCAGAACGGCCAGGGCTACAGAGAGAAGAGCTGTCTCGAAAAACAAAAAACAAGAAAGAGAGAAAGGAAAGAAAACTGGGTAGATGAATAGTCCTCAGCAGGTC